GTTGCCTGAGTTGTTAATGTGAGCCATTCTGACAGGTGTAGGGTGGTATCTCATTGTGGTTTTGATTTGTATTTCCCTGATGATGAGTGAAGTTGAGCATTTTTTCATGTGTCGGTTGGCCATCTGGATGTCTTCTTTGGAGAAGTGTCTATTCATGTCTTTTGCCCATTTCTTCACTGGATTATTTGTTTTTTGGGTGTTGGGTTTGATAAGTTCCCTATAGATTTTGGATACTAACCCTTTATGTGATATGTCATTTGCAAATATTTCCTCCCATTCCGTCGGTTGCCTTTTGGTTTTGCTAATGGCTTCCTTTTCTGTGCAGAAGCTTTTTATTTTGATAAGGTCCCAACAGTTCATTTTTGCTTTTGTTTCCCTTGCCTCCGGAGACGTGTTGAGTAAGAAGTTGCTGCGGCCAAGGTCAAAGAGGTTTTTGCCTGCTTTCTCCTTGAGGAGTTTGATGGCTTCCTGTCTTACATTTAGGTCTTTCATCCATTTTGAGTTTATTTTTGTGTATGGTGTAAGAATGTGGTCCAGGTTCATTCTTCTGTATGTCGCTGTCCAGTTTTCCCAGCACCATTTGCTGAAGAGACTGTCTTCATGCCATTGGATATTCTTTCCCACTTTGTCAAAGATGAGTTGACCATACGTTTGTGGGTCCATTTCTGGGTTCTCTATTCTATTCCATTGATCTGAGTGTCTGTTTTTGTGCCATCCTCCTTGTTTACCCTTGTGCAGACCCCTCCCAGACTCTTCCTGACCCGTGCCCAGGGCACTCTGGACCTCAAAGGGGAAGACGGCTCTAGTCTTATTCCATCTGCACTCCCATCTGTGTCTTTTCTGGAATGATGGACACATGTCATTATCCATTTGTGAAAACCCGTAGGATGTACTACACCAAGAGTGAACCCTTATGGACAGCTGTAACCTTTTTAAAAAACACCATTTTAGGGCCACCTGAGTGGCTCAGTTGGTTAAGTGTCTGACTCTTGACTTCAGCTAAGGTCATGATCTCACAGTTGCGTGGGACCGAGCCCCATGTTGGACTCTGCTCTGACAGCACAGAGCCTGCCTGGGATTCTCTCTCTCCCTCTCTCTCTATCTCTACCTCTCCCCAACTTGCACCCGCACTTTTTTTCTCTCTCAAAATAAACATAAAAAAGAAACCCACCATTTTATACTCCTGAAACCAATACTACATTATATGTTAAGTAACTTGAATTTAAATTGAAAGAAAGAAAGAAAGAAAGAAAGAAAGAAAGAAAGAAAGAAAGAA